TTTTTGATCCCATTCCGCATTGAGCTAATATTATTTAAGTCTATTCGGATCCTTCGTATTTCACAACATCTTGCATTGATACCAAGTTTATCAACACATCTTGCATTGATACCAAGTTTATCAACACAAGAACAAATGTCATCTATATGATGGAAAGAAGCATGCAGTCAGCAATAATAAACTCACAGCTAACTGAAACATGTGCTCCAGGGATGCTTAACTCATTTAATCGGAGTAAATCTTTTCCCTCATACAAGACAAATAATGCCAGGTTGCCTTAACTCGACTAAGAAGATTTGACCACATAAGAGAAAAAAGCAAATTAAACAACACCAAATTTTGGGTAAAGAATACCAACAGACACTATACTAGGTAGCAAATACACAAACTAATAATGTACTAAACATTCATGGTGTCAGATGTGACTCCACAAGTAAATATTATTTAATGGTCATGATTGGGTACACAAGAGGGAATATTCCTTCCATCAACTTTGATCTTCAGTTCATAGTTTCCTGCATCATCTTGCTCGTGTCGTATTTTTTGAAGGGATTCAAGAAGAGAAGCGCCACAATTCATAACAGCAATAAACTCAAGCGTTGAGATGTCCCCTAATTCAAGGGGTATCTCTTCAAGATCAATACAATTCGAAACCTCTAATCGTTCAAGATGTGGAAAATTGATGCTTGAGACTTCCCATTTTTTGATATTTAAGTCTTCAAGTCTCAAGGCTTTTAGTTGTTGAAACTGCTCCTCACCTGTTTCCCACAGTGTTCCCTCGAAGCCATTGTCTTTTATTACAAGAAACTCAAGATTAGGTAATGACTGAATGATAGTCATGTTGCTCCACGGTAGACCACACCTTACAAGTGTAAGTACTTTCAGTGTTTCAGGGAACCTAATAATGTGATTCTTTCCCAAGTTTGGTGCACCTCTGAGAAGTTCTGGCTCAACTGATCTCCTTCTGCTGTAGCCCGACCCAACTAACATCAATACTTGAAGGTAACGGAGTACTTCAAAGTCATTTTCCTCGTCAGAGTAAAGAGTAGATGTAAGATCCTTGATCCCAGGAAAACATTTCTGAAAATTATCTACCCCATTTCCCAACACCACATTTGTAATAACTTCTAATTTCATTGGTTTTCCAATAGAAGGAAGATATAGATTTGTGTTACTGGCTAAATGTCTCAGATTCACCAAATTTGATATGTTACTAGGTAAAACCATAGAACTAGAACTTGTTCTAACAACGAGGGTTTGAAGGTTCCATAAATTGCATATTGATGGTGGGAATAATGACAGCCAAATTTCTAGGAACCTTAAGTGAACTAGTAATGCTAAACCAGGGGGAAAATCAATCAGTATACATTTTTGTAGACTTAACACCCTAAGAAGTGCAAAGGAACTGCAAAACTTTGAGATATTATCAGTTAAGGTTGTTTTCCTATGATAGCACAAAAACGATCTAATACTTGGGGTGGGCGGATGAGACAAAGTCATAATGTCGATTTCTTGATTTGTGAACACACGGCGTTGCTTATGGGTGGTAATTATCTCACAATGATGATTAGATGGTGGCCAGTCTATTTTCAGGAAGAATCTTTCTTCTTTTCCTTTTTCCACACATAGCTGCCTCACAAGATCATGGACTTTACAAAGTTCAACATCACCCGAAATATACCATTTTTCTACAATTAGAAGATTTCTGTCAACTAGATCCATCAGGTAACCCTTGGCAATTTCCTCCAAGCTTCGACTTCCATCTTCTTGTATAAATCCCTCAGCCATCCATAAACAAATCAACAATGGTGAATAGATCTGAGAGTCTTCTAAAAACCCTCCCAGATAGAGAAAGCAGTCTTTCAAGTGAAGAGGTAGATGGTGGTAACTTAATGCTATTGTTTCCAGACATCCTTTCTCATCACTAGCAATATACGAATGGACACTGCAAGATATTTTTAGCCATATATCTTTCCTCCTTGGTTCTTTTGCTAGAACTCCTGCCATCACAACAACAGAAAGTGGCAATCCATAACAGTTTTTTGCAATTTGCATTCCAGGAGCAATCAACCATTTGGGACATTCGTTTCCTTGGAACACCTTTTCACACAGCAACTTCCAACTTTCTTCTTCAGTCAAATGTTGTAAATGATGAATGAGTCCATGTGATTTTGCATGCGAAGCAACTTCGGTGAGGCGACTAGTAAGCAGAATTCGACTTCCAGTGTTATCATCAGGGAAAAATAATTTCAGCTTATCCCATGCCTCTTTACTCCAGATGTCATCAATGACAATCATATATCTCTTACGGTTTAGGCTCTTGTGCAACATCTCACGAAGTTGATAGTCCGTTGCTTTCTCAAGCTCTAATTGATCATCTATGGATGTCAGAACTTGAATCAACAGATCCCGCTTGTCATATATTTGTGAAACAGTGACCCATCCACGGACATAAAAATGATGAACAACAAAAGGATCAGTGAAGACTTTGTTAGCAAGGGTAGTCTTACCTATTCCACCCATACCAATAATAGATACCACATCCAGATGCTTTCCATCTTCAACAAGTTTGTCCCGTATTATCTCAGCATCACGATTGAACCCCACAATGACTTTTTCCAATAATTTCTTTGAACCCCTTGAATTTCTAGTGTGGGAAGTTCCAGCCGATTGCAGTCTGTCAGTTCTCAGAGATGAGTCCATCTTCATGTTATCGATGCTCATAGTCATGAACTCTATCTTGATAGAATTGATTGATCTCATAACAACCTCAAGGTGGAGAGAGGGGTGAAAGACATCAGATCTAGGGAAATATCCGTTTTTTCTACAGTGGACAGTGGTTAGAAAGATATCGACGATACCTTCTGCTTCTTCAGCTGCAACTTTGAATCTTTTCTTCAGTTTTCTCACTTTTTCAAAGCTGTGTAGATCTTGGTCTTCGTGGTTGAAAAGGATTTGGATCATGAAGCCAAGCTCTTCATAAAGATGTTGGAATTGAGGCCTTTCACTTAAGATTGATGGATTGTTGATCACTGGAATATCATTGGAGTATATCAGCTGCTTCAACTTTCCCATGAACATCTGGATATCTGCGTATGCCATCTTGTTTATTCCGATCTTTGAAGAACAGTAGAAGGTTGGTTGGTTTTATCTTTCTTTGTACATTAGTTGGGTTCACGGTTGCAAAATGGGGTTATGGTCCCACCAATTCACCAAATCTGAAATAATCCAAAGTGTCATTTTTATAACTTTAATTGTTATTTTTCGAATAAAATGCAGAAATAGGCCATATGCGACTGTTATGTTGTCGTTTTATTCCAGTCCAAAATGAATTTCTTTCAAAATATCATTGGTTTACCTTTTTGTTTGGATATATACTAGTGTTTTGTTTTTTGCTTTTATCAAATTTAACGGGCCCACCCACAGTCAACACCACACCCACCTAATTCTCATCCCCTCCCCATCTTGGCCTTCTTCTTCGTCAGTGAAAATAACCCACTCCCTTCTCTTTCTCTGTGCCCTGTGGTTGCCTTTTTGAATACAGAACAAATGTGGGAATTATGGAGATGAATATTAACCCAAAACTGGAATCATCGAAATACAGTCAAAGGGTTCACATATACCATGACCGTCCTCAATTGGTTTTGAACACAGTTGGTCATAGACCACATCACTGGCACACAAGTCGCCCACCAGTTGTTCCTCATTATAAAATCAATCAAAACCAAGAACGGACCTGGGAAAAATCCCAAACCAATATCGCAAAACCTGCAAATGGAAATCGGATCACAAAACCTTCTTTGATGTTTACCAAAGGAAGAGGAAGGGAGGATTCTGAACCTGCAAATCAACAAACTCATCAATCTCCGAAACATAAATCAAACCCAAAACAAAACAATAAACTTGATTTACATGTAAAATCGAACTCGTTTGCATATAGGAACACTGGACAAGTGATTTGGAACTGCATGTTTAGTCTATCTTCAAAAATTAACTCGGACCGTCCCTAGTTTGTTTAAAACTTACATGCTTCGACATTGATATGTGGTTTTGTTGCAAATTTAGTCCATGCCAGATTTGAAATGACCATAATGACCTTGTTTATTTATTTTCCATATAATGTTGACTTATTTATTGTTATTAATTATATTTAGAAAAAAATAGTCCATCCCCTTGTCCATTGTTGGAGAACCGCCGGCCATCATCACCGAAGCACCACTAACCAACATTTTCATTGTTCAAAACCATAGTCTCTCTCCTCTTCCTTCTCCGATCGGATACCTTTTCTTCTCCGATCAACTGATACTCCCTTGTTTCAAATCTATGATCTCCTCCACCTTACCGTAAACCAACATCCTCCACAGGGGCGGAACACGAGCATTAGAATAGGAGGGGCCGGAGTATATCTCCTCTGATAAATGAAAGTTTTTTTGCCACTTGTCAATCTTTTATGAGTTTTGACACTTGTCATTTTATAGTATTATTAAAGTAAATATTATCCACTTGTCAATTTTTGGTTTGTTTCAATTTTTAAAATTAAAGTCATATATTTATATATGTAAAGTATTAAATATAATATATATAAAATTAAATTGCAATGAATATGTTTCTTTCTTTCTTATTTTAAAATTTTACATAAAAAAATATTTACTACTTATATTTTAATGTTTATTTTTTTTTAAATTAACTCGTATAATATACGGGTCTCACACCTGGTTAGCAATATATAACGCATCTTGAAAATAAATTAATTTGTATGACAAATTATAATTTAAATAAAATTTATTAATGATAAGATAATTAAAATGTAGTTTTTTTTTATGAATATGAGAAAAAAATATATTTTATAATTGTTTTTTGAAAGTCTTTATATTATAATTTTTTGAGTAAATTACTGAAATCGTCCCTGTGGTTTGGTCAAAATTGCACGTTTGGTCCCTAACTTTTTTTTTT